GAATTAGGGAAAAGAAACTTCGAGATCAAAATTCATCTTTGGATAGTACTTCATCGGAACCATCCTACGAAAATCAAGATCTGGAATTATCTATAAGATCGCAATCTATCTCTAATAGTTCTGAGTTATCTTCGGATAATAATTCATCATGTGATTCTAACTCCAAATCGCCTACTAATGTATCGCCTAATCAGAGGCACGAAACTCTTTGCTCCGCAAAAATTCCTTATAATCAAAAGGTAGAGCGAGGTTTAAGACTTGAGCTATCTATTTGCACCAAAGATAATAACCACAAGATTAGTAAAGTATTTGATATTTTCGAGGAAAAGAGCTCCGCTCCTCAGATTCCTGAATTCTCTTTAGAAGCGATTTTATCAGGATCTAGTAGCGTTACGTCACAAAATATAGTTGATCTATTTAGGGTAGCAATGAAGATTCGACAAAAAGAAAGTTTATGCTGGTATTGTTATTATAAAGCATATGAGAATCGAGTCAGTGATGTTAAGACTGCAAATAATAGCGGAGCTAGTGCTAAAGCACATATTGATGACCAATCGGCAAGAACGATAGTATATAATGAAATAAAATCGCTCCTCCCTGATATCACCGATGTAAACTTGCGTAAAATAACTTCCAGAGCAAAAAAAGTATATATATTATATGAAGGAATAGGAATTGATAAAATTAGTCAAATAACTTACAGCGCAAGCGCTATTTCAAGTTTAAAGAATATTCAAATTCAAAATATTATAAATGATTTTCCCAAGACAACTGATATGAGTTGCCAGGCACAGAGTGGCATTTCTTCCGAAATAAAAGTGATCAGCGTGACAAATTGTCACGCGCATATGTCAGATTTATCTAGCTCAAACGATTCATCAGCAGAACTGGCACGGTCAAAATTACCAGAAATCGAGGTAAGTGCACCTACTGAAACCGAGATAAGTGTAGGTTCGAAGAACCATGAGTGTAACTCGCCCCTACGGGCCTGCTCTGCAATAGTAAGTGATACAAAAATCAATGTTATTGCTTCACAGCCACAGGCTAAACCACCTGTATCTCGACCTCCTATCTCTATTCTACCCGATGATCCAAAAGA